GAACTACTACTGCTATGTATGACTTTTCCATTTGACATATCTATCTCATATGATTTGAATTACTATTGTAAAAATGCAAGTTTCAATGTAGCATCGACAAACACTTTACTTTTGATATCGTTTAACTCTGAGGATGCAATGTTATGTGATATGAGCTACCTTCTATTTGTCACGTATGCCTACTCTATTCTTAAGCATAGTGTAATTACCCAGCAAACGGAACGGACATAAAAGCCACACTGTACCCTTCACTCAAGGCTCTAGCATGGCTTAGGTAAAATCACCTCTCATCACCGTGGCAACGAGTGCTAGTAGATGCCACGTCAGAACTTTACGTATTTCAGGAAAAATGCACCAGCTCTGCTTGAGATAGAAATGTCCTGTTGAGTCTACACTTGATGAAAGAAACCCATCAGTTCATAACATACACACACACCATTAGGTATTCATGTAATATTCTGAAACTAAACACTAGCTTAGGTTCTGGTATAACACACGTTTAGGTTCTACTGTTGTATCACATACCGATAGGTTTTGTTTAGGTATAATATCTCAGGAAGTTTTGTTATTACATTGTGATTGATAACTACTGATCAAAGTGAGGTTATTGTATAAATAAGAACTAAACAGTAATTTAATTAATTTAGCTAATTCTATATAGCAAACAGTTTAGAAGTACGTAATACGATAAATCGATACTCAAGAGACTGAAAGAAATAATGATTAAAATATTTTGGTATCAATTAACAATAGTTTCAGCTGTAAAACCCGAGGCCTATGATGTGTCATTGCATTCGAGTAGGTTCTCTTATGATACAATATATTTACCAGTAAATTAGGTTGAGAGACAATATAAAACTAGATTTGTTTGTGGTACAATATGGCAACAGGTTCTCCGTTGTGGTATCATAATCTAATAAATTTTATTGATGTATCACAGTAAGATAAGTTTGTAACATTTTCATATCATGTTTTAATATGCTGTATATTATAAGGCTCTGTTGAGTAATTTACCTCTTGGTTATTTTGTAGTTTCACTTACCATTAGGCTTTGTTACGCTATATATTACAGTGGATTATGTTATGATATTATATAACAGTAGATTTTTGCGTAATATAAGAAGTCTAATATGAAATTATAAAATGTGTTATTTATAAATTATTATGCACGAAAAGTACTTAAGTTTTGTGGACAATAACAGGGTGTTTCATAAATCAATTATACATAAATCTTACATTTGCATTTTGTATTTAGGGAAAAGCTACTAAAAGCAGTTTCCCGCGCTTTCCCTAAGTTTAAACTACTGACCAGAGGTAAAGCAGCACCCGACCAAAGAGTCCACACTAAGGGTTTGACTGTCATTCTTATAACGCATACACAGTATAAAGTGTGGGGAATGTTTTGTGGTGCCACACAGATTCGAGCCCAGCTCATCAGCTCCGCAATCCAGACCTCTACCACAGGAACAAACCGCGCCCCTACTGACATTGTGAACGTTTTTGATTGTGATTTTTGAGAACGATACTGAATAAAGCACGAAGATAGGACAGCTAGTTTCAAGTTAACGCAATCAAAGGATAGTTAATGATCCATCATTCGCAAATTCTTCCCACAAGAAGACGTTACTGATTATTTTTTGTACATATACAAAGATGCTAACTATTAAGACGTTATAATCATTACCAATGTATACTTCGCCCATTCTACATGATAAGGTCTTCATTATCTTTATATCAGTAGCAAGAAGAATCACGAACTTACGAAATATTGCGTTGAAATATGTTAAGTTCGTGTTACGGTTATGAAGTTTAGGATGTAAAATAAATTACTGTGTTGTGTCTTTTTTCTTTTTTTTTGTAACAAAAACTGTTAGCTTATACTTTAGTCTCAACACCTCTTGAAATATAAACGTTTCAACGAATAATTCACTTTAGTGAGAGGATTACATAAATGAACTTTACATAAACCACAGAGTGTTTTAACCACATTTCCTTTCTACACACCAAGCTATATATGTAACTTTTATAATTAAGGGTCTTTGAACTTAAGGACTCTTATGACTAACGGGACTAATTATATGAAAACAATTTTGTGCCCAGTTTTTACTTTCTTCTTTGCGTTGAAGAGGTTCTTTACTTTTAGTTGTAAATTAATCTCTGAGATTAATTAATATGAGCCATAGTTACAACATTTCCACGTTTATTGGTGCCAAACTGAAGAGCTAATAAAAGTACTCGTGTCAAAAGTTCAGCAATTGAATTATTTTTAAACGAATATATATAGAGATGAAGAGAAGTTGTCCGTATGTCTAGTGTCACAAACTGTTATGAGGAACTGTTGAACCAATTTCGAGGAAATATAGCAGAGGAACTCGTGTGGACTTCCTAAAGATCGAGTTTAACTGGATAAACAGTCGAATAATCGGTTCGAGTTTCGACAGTCATGCGCTGGGAAGTCGATCCAACATTACATGAAACCGAAACCAAACGCAAGTGATGTTTAATGCCACGCGTAGTATACTTACCTTTGCATCGAACGAATGGTTTCTGTACTACGGCTCAAAATAGTGAAAGAGATAGCCCTCTCCCACATTTATAATATTACTTTTTCAGCACAGTTGATTTATAAATATATCAGTTTATAATGACACAAATATTTAACAAATGATTGTATTTGAAATTTGAAAAAAAAATTCAGGCTTACAGATAGTTATAATAGAATAATAATAAATACACTTGAAAATATGCACAAAATATTTACAAAACACTATATTTAATTGAAAAAAGCAACTTATTTTTAGTGTTAATCTACAATGTAATTTATGTATCCAATAGCTTATTAGTACCAAACGCTAGTGTGCAAACTCTTTATTTATTGGACAGTAAAATAGTACAATTACCCAAGAATATTTCGAAGTAATTTTCATTTCTGTTAAGACCCAACTCCACGTACTTGAGTCTTCAAAAAATATATATATTCTAGCCTGTTTTTTTTTTAAAACAAAGTCCGTAAATGTATTAATATTTTTACCCCATTTCACGTAGTAAACACAGGAAAAATGGTGATTATTTAAGCCATACCGTCTATAAGAATATTATTATTAGTTTATTTATCTTAATGTTTCTATGTAAATTCAGAGAACATTCACGATAAAATAGATAAAAACAGGACACAAGGTAATTTTTGGTGCTTCAAGTACGCAACATATTAGAAGCAAAAAAGTATATAGATGCTCTAACTAGAAAAATCTTATGGTGTTTATAGTAATATAAAAACAAATGTCATTGCAAAATAAAAGCAGAATCTTTTTGCTTATTTTGAATATTCGTTCAAACCTACAAAAGGGTTATTTGCGCTACCAGTCCCTGATATTAAACTGATAGACAAAATGGAAGGCAAGCAAGTCAACATCATTTACCATGAACTTTTGGAATACTCTGACCAAATAGTCCTGTGGTAGAGCTATGGATACCTGAAAGGTAGAATCGAGTTTGAAGCCGTGTGATACTAACTAATCGTTCCCCACACTTTAAGCTGGGGTGCATTATAAGAGTGACAGTCAATCCTTTATATTTGTTGGTTAGTGGTAGGGTGCTGCTGACTGAGCTCCGCCATTGAGTCAGCGGTAAGTTTATAGACTTATAACACTAAAATTCGAGGTTTGATTCCACGAGGTGGACAGATAGCCCACTATGTAGGTTTGTGCTAAAAACAATAACAACTGCTTACTAGCTGCGTAGTTCAAAAGTGGGGATGTTGACAAATAGCCTTAGTAACTTTGCGATAAATAAAAATTACAAATACAAAATGCTAATTTATAAGTAGGATTTAACCGTCACTTTTACAACGTATCTACTGCAAAGAAAGTGCAAAGTGCGATTTTTTTACTGTTATTATTATTATTGTTTTGCAGTAATAGAACATGAAACCGTGAACTCTCGGTTCCACTGCTTGATAAGCTAACTCCGAAGCCATACTCGGAAGAAAAAATTACAGAAGTTGGACAATTAATTGGAGACAACTTCTGAAGTAAAATTCTGGAGTTACATTATTTTTACGAATCACCAAATATTTGCTATAGTGATTGGATTTTAGAATAGATCTTCTACAGTTAAATAATACCAAACTTTGTAAGTAGCGAGGTCGCTAATCAAACTTTATTGTAAGTTGAATGAATGCACTTAGGAACTATTTCTTTAAAGTTTTTTTTACTAAAAGTTACATTTTCTGAATTGTTTTTGTTAATTGTTTGTTATTACGCCGTTACATAGAAATGAATATTTTAAAGTATTATTTACGCTAACTATTTCTATTTGATGTAGGTAACTATATTTCATAAAGAAATGAAAGAAAAAAAGATTTGCTGCAATAACAAGCCCTACGAGACTTAATTGTGCCATACACAAACCCTATAAGCGCTATCTTTTTTATGTTATGAACACATAGTTTCAAAAGCAAAATGTTTGTATTAGGTAAGGATAATTTGTAAATTAATTTTCAACTAAGAATGTCATAAAAATAAAATATATATTTTTCTATCTTGTGGTATTTCCACTAGCGAAAAGAAAAAAAAGTTAAACGAATTTTGTTTTTCAACACCACATTTCCAAGACGTGCTAAATAAATTAAACATTTATTAGACTTCAGTGTTTGTTTTAATCATCACTTCGTTTTATGGTAAAAATAAAGATACCGAAACAAGAGTAATAAGAAAATGATCTGTAGTTATTCCGATACAACTGTTGATTGTCACATTTTCTCATGTCATGTATAAAACTATTCAATTGTTTAAAACGGATCTTATATGTCGAGAAAACGTACAAAACATTAAATATTCTTGTCATCGGGGATTGATAAATTATTAAATTATTGTAAAATAAAATATTCTACCACTTCAGATAGTAAAGATAATTAACAGAATAGTAATATGTTTGATAACAAAATTATTTTGCATTTAAGAAATAAATATATTCCCCACTATAGAAATTCCCCACCTCACCTGTTGGTAGAAGAAAGGCCTAGTTAGTGCTAACCAGCGTTCTACCGCCATAACTGTGGCTACGCTGCCGGAGGAGAGGCCAAAAGTCCGGAGGAGGACCCGGAGAATACAAAACCATCGAGGAATTATTTTGTCTTCTAGAAGGAGATAAAGCTGCACATACATAAGAAAGAAAGATCCCACAAGGGCAAGAAGGTCGTTCCAGATGAGACACCGGACCATTAGCGTCTGTTTTCGGTTTCGAGGGGTTTTTCCCCGCTTTAAAAGAATTAAAGAACAAATATTTGCCCCAACGCCAAAGACGTACAAGAAACTGATGAGAGTTTGATTTAATGTTGACAGGTGCCGCATGGACTCATCCTGGGCAGACCGTGTGGTGTCCCAGATGGATGCTGTAACGTTGACTTCACTGCTCATCACGACGATCAGTTTTACTAGTAAAAAGTAAGTTTGCTTAGTCTTATCGTGAAACAAAACTACTTTAGCGCGTAAAAAGAATAAGTTAAACCGGTGATATTAAAATGAATAGTGAAACTTTTTGATTCTTCTCCTAGTCACTCAAACTCCATGCTTCGTCTACAGGATTTATGGATGATGCTTAAAGAAGCAGCTTGATGATCATAATCATTCTTTATTACATTGTCACAGTATTTATCAAATGAAGTGATCACTTCAATGGACAGTAAGGTTATAATATCCGTTCTACAATTTAACTAACGAGTTTTAACCTTTGAACTACAATGTAGCTTCAAAGTGGACAATCTGTGCTTAACAACATTACCACTTCAACAATATAGCACAAAGAAGAGACAATTGTCTTCTCTTCTTCACAAACACACGCAATTCTTTAAGCCACTTGCGACGCGAGAGCTGAGAAGCTTAACATCAAACGAATCTTTACGCCCTGCGCAGCGAAGGAAGCAAGAAACAAGAAAGTCTAAAGATGATCATCTATCTAAAAAACGATCGCCAGAGGGCACCACTTAGTGACAGCTTCTCTCAATTGGTTCAATTTGTAGTGTTTAATGAACACAATCTCCAATCTTTATTTGCCATTTAGAAGTATTAGGTCACTCTCATAATGCAAGTTGAGGTCAAGTTTAATATATATTCAGACGTATGGCGTACATTCTGCATATATAAGACTAATTAGTATATGTATCTCACTACTTTTCAGTGCTTTTCTTTCTTCTACGCCCACTTATTCTATACAGTTCTTTTTCTAGTACTTTTGCTGTTTTAGAATATATTACTTACCTTATTCACCGAAAATCAAATACTACATTTATCTTATTCTCACAACTCACAGTTAGATTTGTGTACTAGAAGTTATTATTGTAGAAAAAATGTACTAATCCTAAGATAACGCTGACGTATTAGTACTAGTTTCCTATATGAAAGAAGAAATACTGAAGTCGTCTTAATTCAGCTATTTCAACGTATTTTTAAGATGAATATTTGGTATGATTCTAGTGTTAAGCACAATCTAGTTACTGAAATAATAACACTTACAGTAGAAATACTTCAATACTCTGACTTTAGCAGTTTCAGGCCATTTATGTTTCACAATCTGAATAACACGAAAACTACGTTCCAATAATATTAGAAGTTGAGTTAGCATTTAATAAAACTCATCAGATTTAGTAGTTACCTATCAGTACCACTTACGTCACACACAGTAGCACTTTTACAGAACAGAGAACTCAGCTATCTAACTGAACTGATACTTAGTGGCTTTACACTGATATAAAAGCTTCAAAGTCACATCGCTGATGATTTTGATACATTAATATAATAAGGTTTATTATTCAGTCAAAGGCTGGCAGCATTGAAGGGGTATACATTAATATGGTGATTCGTAGGTCACATTTTTATGGTTTCACGGTTTTTCTTCTTCTTTGAGGCATAATATTATTATGAATATTTATTTGAATGTGTGAAACGATATGACATTATTTTTAATTATACACCGTTAAATGACTAATGACCGAATTATGCAAGAAAAGATGCGTTACAATAACGTATACCAGTTTACAGTGTAAATCGCCAGTGGAAAATTTCCGTGAAACAAGAACTACGTAAATAAATTTGGATGCTTTGTTCTGAACGATCAGTTGTGTGCTCTTGGCAATTTTCAAGTAATTCCATGCCGCCAATCTCGAGAGCCCCCCAAACCCTCTTAGTGTCCTAATTAGGAGGTCCCAATCTAAAAATATCAAAAATATAAAACAGATAATTATTTTAAATATTGGAATTTGACCGTAGTTCCTACTGTGTCCCGACCACCTCGAAGAGCCTAGTGATTTTTTTTGTAGCAACGTGACTCGAGTTACAAACCTGAAGATTCAGAGTCAGGATAGTGAATTTTTTTGTAGCAACGTGACTCGAGTTACAAATCTGAAGATTCAGAGTGAGGGTACGCTAAATATTAAACCCCAAGAATTACCACACATGTTTACCTCTAAATGTATATATATATATATATTTCCAATAAGCAATAACCTAGAAAAAAGTTCTTTCTTTTAATAATATTGGAATTTCAAGGATATTTTATAGATAAATAACGATTATAAGTCTGTCTAGTAACTTGTAGTAATTGAAAGTTTTATCATTCTCAGCTAAGCGTGTTTTTGTCTGTGACACGTCAGTAGGCCAAACCAGAACAATGAGCTCTGTGGCCAGCAAACTGGCGTTGGTAGATTAAATTTCCAAATGGCCTTGCATGGACCAGAGCGAAACATTATTACTTTCAACATTTGATACAGTAGCATATTTAGAGAACAGAGAGCACAGCTATGTAACTAATCCATGTAACCAGGAGTTTCGAATGAACGTACAAAAAAATCTGTGAACTATGGAATGTCAAGGAAATGCATAATGAAGTTACCTAAACTAAAGCATTTTATAAGGTACACAAATATGGTGTTATAAATAACTTTATCAAAACACATACAAATATAAAGCCAAAATCTATTATTAACTAAATAGATAAAGGTTTGTTTGACTGAACAGTTTGCGAAAAATTATATGATAAGGATTTGTTTTGGCTGGTCAAGGATACTCCAAGACTCCGTATTTCTTTTGGAGCTGTATACAAGACTGAACACTCACAACAATCACTTGGCCCTAAAAAACTTCTCGATTTGAACATTGTTGAAGCTATATGGGCTTATGTAGGAACTGAGAAGGTCAAAAGGCAAACAAAGAACGTTGTTGAGCTGTGTGTGTGTGTGGATGTAACACAGAACATTTGAAACAATATTGTACAGTCGTACATTAATAGATTCTATAGTCGTATGAAAACCAGGTAGAACGTTCAGTGTAAAGTAAAGTGCTCACATATAAAATACTACACCTTTGTACGACTTATTCGCTTTTCTTTTGTATTTTCTGTTATATTGTTATTTTATATTAATGAATTTACCATCAAGTTACCATTACTTCTTGTTTGTGGCTCCTATATGTATACTGCTTGTGTGCTTCCGTAATTATTTTCACCACCGTATGTTGTCATATCAGAATACTCTATTCAAATAGGTTTACTTGAGAACTTGATTATTATATTAAGTAGGCCTATTTATTGTAATATTCCTGTTTCTAAGCAATTTTAGAAGACTTAGTTCTTCTGATGGCATCCAGTGATGAGCAAAGTGGGTAACACAACGATCTTCAACTGGTGTTACCGAGACCCAAAGAGCAAAAGGTTAGAATAAGTTATACCACATATGTTGATGAGCAAAGTGGGCAACACAATGATCTTCAGCTGGTCTTACCGAAACCCAAAGAGCAAGAGGTTAAAATAAGTTATACCACATATGTTGATGAGCAAAGTGGGTAACACAATGATCTTCAGCTGGTCTTACCGAGACCCAAAGAGCAAGAGGTTAGAATAAGTTATACCACATATGTTGATGAGCAAAGTGGGTAACACAATGATCTTCAGCTGGTCTTACCGAAACCCAAAGAGCAAGAGGTTAAAATAAGTTATACCACATATGTTGACGAGAAAAGTGGATAACACACTGATCTTCAGCTGATCTTACCGAGACCCAAAGAGCAAGAGGTTAGAATAAGTTATACCACATATTTTGATGAGCAAAGTGGGTAACACAATGATCTTCAGCTGATCTTACCGAGACCCAAAGAGCAAGAGGTTAAAATAAATTATACCACATATTTTGATGAGCAAAGTGGGTAACACAATGATCTTCAACTGGTCTTACCGAAACCCGAAGAGCAAAAAAGTTAAAAAAAGTTCTATAAATCCAAAATCAAATAAATAAATTAGTAGACTATGAATCCTGAATATAATTTTGATTTCAGGCACTCATTATTTTTTATTAGTTATCATATACGTTTTTCACGTTTTCCCTGAATAACCTTAGAATTTCGAAAAAGATGTAATGTTAAATTAAGAATTCGTAACAAATCACTTTTGTTCAGAGGAAGTAAAACTAAATATAAACATAGATGATAATACATTGTTAACGATGTTTTATTATACATAAATGGTATGATTGTAAGGTTTGAATATAACATGCATATGATTATACTACAAATGTAGCTTGTGTTGCAGAGAACACTGAGGTCGTACTTGATAACAAAACTAAACATAAAAATTTAAAACCCAAATATCTTCTTAACTAAATAAATAAAGGTTTGTTTGACTCAAAATTTCGCACAAGGGCTAACTGCCAAATGTTTCAATTGATAGAATACAGCAATGGTTTTCAAACTTTCAAGGATGGCGTACCCTTTTCAAATGTCGAACAAATTCGCGTGTTCCCACAATTCTGATACTGAAAAAAAAAATATATATACTTTTTATTTTATAGTAGTAATTATTATTTTTGAATAGTGATCCGAAAGTTGCGTTTCCTTTCGTTTGGCCTACTCTAAAGGATACAAATACAAGACATGGGGTATTCGTACTTGTATTAGAATAATTGATAGAGAAAATTAATGCATTCATCTTCGTCTTCGAATACACTGGCATAGTATTCGTATTCGCTGAATGATTTAGTGAATAGTTAATATTGTAAGAGTAAATGTCAAGTTTTGTACTCATCAACTGTCTAGACTGTTATTATTACATTCACAGCACGTTAAATCAGGTCAGCACTCTCCAACTACCTTAAAGTTATTGTATTACATGGTTACCAATCCAATCAAGTCACTTGAGAGAATTTAAGATGGCTACTAAACTGCCTTCAGTGGTACATTAACACTTTATACTTCCTACTGATAGATCTGGTCACATCAAAGAAAAATGTAAATATTGTGAGGGAGTATTTTTACTTCAGAAAATACACTTTTAACCATTCTGACATATTTGAAGATAAGCCATTTTATTACTTTTGTTAATATGAACTATATTTTATGCAAATTATATAATATAATATAGGTGAATAAAATTT